AACATCTATTACTTTCTATAGATTCATTAATCACAATTCATAATCAAAACAAAATTTTTACCGTAACTGTCGTACATATCAGTTACCTATAATTGATTTAACAATATAAAAACAAGAACATCAAAGTACCTACAATTTTTGTGGTTAAGAATAAACGTAACAATTCCCTTATACTAATAATCTCTCTAGCTAAAATATCTAGTTAAATTTCTACTTATATTCTTAATTTCTACTTATATTCTTAAGTGCTTGATTGTTTCTAGCTACCTTCCAGGTGTCTTAGTGTCCCTGACCAAAACTACACAGGATGTTGATTGTAATCTTAAACTTGAATTAGCAAAGCTTTAGCTGGTATGGTTTTTCCTAATGGTGAAACTCATTGTTAATGTAAAAGGCAACTATTATAACCTAACATGATTAAGCACAGTGTGAGGGTGTCTAAACGTAATTTTCATTTTTAATATGTTTATAAAAAATTATCAAGTGATTATAAAAATTATCAAAGAACTCTTATAATAAAGTAAAAAATGAGCCATGTATAAAAGGAATAAACAAGAACTGCAGGGCCTTTGCATGAGGTTCTCCTTGGGGCTTTGCCATCCAGAGGAGACACTCATTGTTGTGTTGCTAAAACAATGAGCTTTTCATGCTTAGGGTCCCCCGCTGCTCCGCTCCTTGACGGCATGGCCTCCACCACTTTACTCTATTTAGCCTGATGTTACTTACTGGTTCAGTTGTGAGGATGTTGGTTTTCTTTATGCTGGGATGTCATCCGTATTAATGACAACTATCTCTGTGTCATGAGGACAGAGTCTGGGATATGAAAGTTGATTAGTGTTTCCTCCAAGTGACAGGGAGACGGAAGCGTTTCTATGAATGCTCAGGAGACACTCAGGTTATATTCACAGCGGAAGACTAATTTGCAAACCAGGGTGAGAATGGTTGTCCAAGTCCAAGAACATCTTCAATGTCCCTGAATTGTGAATGTGAACATTGTTGAGAAGACATAGGTGTTGTTATGTATATTTCCATTTCAGTACATTAAACAACAACAACTCAATGGATCACGGCACAACACGGTCTGATCTAGAGCTGGAATACGGACCGCCTAGGATTAGAAAATGCTCAAAAGAAATGATGGTCTCAAGAAGGCAGATGATCCGTGAGCGGACAGAGTTCACTTCTTTTGTATGTGGGGTCTCCATGAATCAGAGCAGATTTACCGGCACCTAAGAACACCACCAGCTTTGAGAGAGGCACTGAAAAAGCTGGCAAACTGGGTTATTTTGGCAGGGGAAGGCAATCGATGGTGTGAAGACACAATGTGGCTGATGCTCTCAGACACCTGGAGAAGTCTCAAGTGCAGTGAGCTCACAACGGGGAGCCACACAGAGGACTCCTGGAAGTCCCAGACCTGCCCCAGCATGCCCCTGAACATTTCACTTACTTTGAAATCAAGCTGTTGTGGGTTCACTGGAAAAGTCTGAGTCCGCAGATGATGTAAAGAAAAGAAGCAGAATCCCACTTCTCTGTTCACAAGCTTCCTGTGAGAGCTGCTAAAGAGTGTGGGTCCTCCCAGAGAGGAACTCATAAACTTGGGGCCTGACTGGGATTAGACCTTGGGGTACAGTAAGAACCAGTAGGATGTGCATACTTAAGTGTATATAAGATACAAAACCAGTTCTTAGGGACAACTCAATTGATGGGGACCCCATGTGTGTCATAGTATGATTATGCTTCATGGGTTCTCAGTGGATGGTTTCTTATAAGCAGATTTCCACTCATGGTGTCCC